CTGTGGAGATGGAGATGTGGTAGACTGGCCAATCACTGCCTCCCATCCCACACTCTCAGAGACTATCTTCACCCACAGCTCAGGCAGCTATGCTGGTACCAGGCAGCCACTTACCCCCTCCTCCCCCTCCAGTCCCTTTTGAATCAGTGAACCAAGAATCTGAAATAAAAAGCACAGAGTCTGAATCAGTAGGATGAGGTGGGTGCATCATCTAGAAAGGTCAGAGAAAATCACAGCTGGAGTCGGGCCCCAAAGCAGATCAAAAGCTACAAGGTACCTGGAGCAGACAAGCCCTGGTGAGCACAGAAAGTGGGGCTGCAGAGATGGGCAGGAAACTGGGGCACACTCATTGAGAGCAGTAGCGACAAGGAAACTTGACAACCGAGGAGAGGCTGAGGAACAACTTCAGTACTGACTTTATAGTTCTAGGGCCACGTAGCCTGGTTAGATTTTGCTTCCTGTCCTTAATGAGACTTCCTGCTATATGTTATATCCTTACAGCAAATTTACTTTTATTTCAGCTAGCCTCGGAGGTTTTCCTTTTTTGTAACTCAGCAATACATAACAGATATGCCTGATCCTCTGCTTTCGTGGACAACCCACTGAAGACAGTGCAGTCACACTGCTGGCTAGTTCTAGAACTCAATTTGCAGATTCTCAGTTTTGCTCTACTACCTAGTCTCCTTTATGTATCAGTGAGCATTGAAAAAGTATTTCCACACTGGTTTGGTTTATTATGAAAGCCTTAAGTTAAACCACGTTTGTGTCCACATAAAAACATAACTGATACAATTGTGTGCTTTCTGGTGGTTTCAACTCTGCCAAGGCACTAAGATTCTAACCAAGCCTAAGGAAGAGTGGCCTAAAAATAATTTGCATTCACAGGTTTTATAAGTGACTCCCTATTTCTTGATGAGATTTGGCCCAGTGTGCATATCTCATTTCCTTCCCTGAACTTGACCTTGCACCAGAGTATTCACATAGACACATCAATTTTGTTGAGTTTAACATTTATCAAGTTCACTTTTACACATATTACCCATACATGCATTTTTAAGTCTTTAAGGGTGACAGTGGAACTGATATCAGAACAACTGAAGACTGTGTCGTAAGAGGCAGTTACTACCACTTCCTGTGTATGTCCTGAGTAACAGCGAAGAGGATGTGCATGAGGAATGGCTCCCCATATGCCTGGGGGGCTATGCCACATGCAAGATGGGACATCAACAGCAAAACCCCATTGAATGTGAGCCAGGAGCCTTTTCTCTTTCTTTAATGTGAACAATACGGAAAGCAGACTTGGAAGATGATATTCTGAATACTGAGGAGTATGCACAGGCCACATTGTGAGGTTGATAGGTGTGGAGTAGGTTGCCTGAAAAGCAGCACCTATCTTCACCTGGTCTCAGCAGTCCCTAGTGACCTAGATCTCCAGGGTAGGTCAGTTCTGAACTCCCAAATGTTTGGATTGACTAAAGGCAAGCTGTAGGGATCCTCCTTGTGGGTGACCTAAGACTTCCTCTAGTATTCCACCAGTGAAGCAGGAGGTTCAGCACTTGGGGAAGGGATAGAAATCAAGTGCACATGAAGAATATCTAGGTTTGTTACAATCACAATTTGCCCACCAAGAACGGATCTTTATTATTAAACTTTTGGCATGCCTTCAAAAAAAGTTAAAATTTGGTTGAAGTAAGCCAAAGAGTTAAAGATATCAGAATAATGTGCTTGTTTTGCCTGTATTTCTATAAGACACCAAAAATTATAATAAAAATCCCCATTATAAATTT